GGAAGGCGTTCATTTTGGTTGACTATCTCGTGCTTTTTATCCACCTCCTTGCCTCGTAAAATATATTTATATCACCATGTGGCACATTCTACATTTTAATTAAATTCCATATTAAACCACTCTCAGCAAGTAGACAAATAAAAATTTTGCCTAGGAAGAAAGTTGCCGAGCATGGGGGTTCCCTTCTTATTTAAGTGGCTTTCGAATAAGTACCCGAAAATAATCAGGTGCTGTGCCCATCTTGATGCACCTAAAATGGTTATGAATAACACCTCTGAGAATGGTTTGCATTTCGACAATCTTTACCTCGATATGAATAATATAATTCATCCCTGTACTCACCCATCAGACAGATTGCCTCCAATCGGAGAGACCGCGCAGCATACGGCTATTTTTACAGCTATAGATGGACTTGTTAAACTTGTGAAGCCTCGTAAACTACTTTATCTGGCTATTGATGGTGTCGCCCCTCGTGCGAAGATAAGCCAACAACGGTCCAGGCGGTTTCTTATGGTAAAGGAAACTAAACTTATGAGAGAAAATTCGACCGACTTGGAAAAATTCCATCAGTTTGCTAATCAAAGTCTTGCTATTCTACAACGCCGAGTGAGTGGTCCAACTAATACTGGCCTTACTTTGAGCATTGAAGAAACTATTTCAAATTCTTCATCAGCTAACTTTGATTTTGATTCAAATTGCATCACACCTGGAACGAAATTTATGTCAAACCTTTCTGATGCTTTGAAATTTCACATACAAAGTCGTCTAGAGTATGATAGTTTATGGAAACACTTAGTGGTATGTAGCAATGAAGTTCCCTTTATTGTTACCTTCCTTCTTTGTTTTGTTTTTAGGTTATACTTAGTGATGCTAGTGTCCCCGGTGAAGGTGAACATAAGATAATGGAATATATCAGGAAAGAAAAACAGAACAGACCAAATGACTTGCCCATTGAAGCTTTCCCTAGGTATTCTTCTTAGTGTTATAATTTCTTTTACCTTAATATAATCTTTCTTAGATTTTGAAAATAGTCCATTCTGAAAATTAAAATGACCATT